TTTTTTTTCGTAATACTATTTTATATGAATAATATATGTAAATTTTTTATTTTATAAATTTTTTTTTTTTTTTTTTTTTTTTTTTTTTAATATGGCTCAAAATCCATGGTATATAAAAAAATCAAAAGTATTAAGAATTAGCAAATTAGAAAATTTTATTAATAAATTTAATGAAGGTAATTATAAAAAAAAAAAATAAGGAATATAAATATAATAAAAATTTATATCTATAATAGTTTTTCAATGTTATTTCATATGTGGATCCTTTTTTTTTTTTTTAAGATTATGATCATTTAATATGTAATCCTAAATTTAAATACATAAAAAACACATTAAATGTTATTCTTGAGAATCCTGGACTAATTATTAATAAAAAAACCTTTAATATAGTAAGAATAAGGTAACTTGTTTTATTTTTTTTTTTATAATAATTATTATTGTTAATATATATATATATATATATATATATATATATATATATATATAATTTATTTTATATTTTATATAATTTATTTTATTTTTTATGTTTTATTTTTTAATAGTTGTGTAGCTCAATTACAACCAAAATACTTAGATAACGTAAAAGATGGTCTAAGCATTTATTTATCAAATTTTATGTTAAAGTAATTATGAAAAAAAAAAAAAAAAAAAAATTATATATATATATATTTATATATATGTATATATATTTATATATATATTTATATTTTTTCTTTAAAATATAGAGTAAATAATGATGTTGAAGGATTTTGTATATGTTTTAACAATATTAAATTAAAAGAAAAAGAACCCAAAATTATTAATAGTGATCCATCAAATATGTTTTTAAAAATCAGTTTTAAACTTTTAATTTTAGTTTTAAAAGAAAATTATATAATAAGTAAAATAAAAATAAAATATACATAAAAATATATTTATGTAAAATATTACTTATAAGATTTTTTAAATATGTCTTAATAATTTTACTGATTAGTTTCAAAATAATGTAAATAAAATATATTTTAACATAAATTTTTTAGAAGCTAAAATAAATAAAATAGAACCAACAAAAATTCATTTAGATATATTTGGGATTATTGAAGCAACACTTATTGAAGAAATATTTAAAGATTTTTGTTATGATTCAAATAATGTAATTAAGAATTTTTCTTTTTTTTTTTTTTATAAAATTTTACTATTTTATTGATACTTTTACTTTATTATGTTTTTTTTTTTTTTTTTTTTTTTTTT